ATTTTAATTGACCCCTTTCATTTCTATCATTGAGTTATCCATCTTTTAACAACATTGCCAGGATTCCAATTAACCATACAATAAACCATACCTTGGAAATCCAACTTTTACAGACCACCCCTCCCTTGGATTTTCCAAAGAACTCAAGATACCCCTCCCTTGGAAATCCAACGTTTTCAGACCACCCCTCCCTTGGATTTTCCAAAGAACTCAAGATACCCCTCCCTTGGAAATCCAACTTTTACAGACCACCCCTCCCTTGGATTTTCCGAATGTCCTCAATAGGGGGTGTGCGGACTAAAAATGCAACTGCCCAATGTTGAGACTGGTCGTTTATAATATTGTAGGAAGTCAGGGGTTTAAACAAAAGTACAATTTGTACCCCACCCTCTATCCCCAAAGTATCCGTCTAGAGTAAGAATGTATGACCTACTATCATAATCAAGTTAATGTATTAATGAATGATTCGAAAAATTGTGTCCATCTTTCACTGACCAACACCTTCCTACTCCCTCCTCCCCTCTTCCTCCCCTCCCTCATGTCCTCCCCTGTGCCCTCCCTCTTGACCTCCTCCTTGGACTCCCCCTTGACCTACTCCTTGGCCTCCCCCTTGACCTCCTCCTTGGCCTCCCCCTTGCTCTCTTGCCCTCCCTATTGCCCTCCCCCTCCTCCCACAATATAGGACATAATGAGCAAATGTTCCCATATACATCTATTTCATAAGGTTATTGAAGGTTTTGCTGCATGTTGCATACCAAGCCTAATATGCACTTGTTTATGGGCAATGTCACAACAATATGGAATTTTTCCAAATTTTTTCTGGTATATCATTTTCTGTGCTGATATTACTTTCACGTAAATAAAACACGGGGTTGGTAACCAACATGCAGTATATGCAACGAAACCTTCACCAGCCTATTTTAAATTAGCTGTACACGTGTTACTGGTTTAAATTTGATACATTTCTTTCTTTCTACTTTCAGCAAATGAAGAATTTGATCAATTATGCTTTGATTTTGGACTAGAGTTAGATGATGTGGTAAGAAATATGTATTGAAAATGTATTAACTTTGGCTGTTATGTCACAGTGTGGGACAATCACAACAGAACCCTAAGGTCCAATAGGTGAAAGCCCAAAGATTGAATTAGAACGTAGAAGTTGATTTTTGCAGAGGGAGGAACAACGAAGAACTTAGAAAAAAACCCAGAAAGCGCAGGAGAGAACCAAAAAGGAACTATACTCACGTGACACCGAGAATGGGAATCAAACCCAATTTGAGTGTGCCATATTAGCACGCACACCACCATTGCTTCTCATTGATTTATTTTGAAATTAAAGTAATTCCAAGAACTCCTATTACTTGATGTTGTTCAGGTTGTTGAAACAATTGAAGAAGAAGGTCAAAAGCCACGGGATGTGGAAATTTATAAGATTGATATTCCTGCCAACAGGTAAAGATAATCTGTAAAGCATTTTTGGGATTTTCATTTAGTTTTTTTGTTAAATTTATTTTATTTTAATTGTGCATAAATTAGTGTCTGTCCATCCACTCACTCACTCATTTATCCATTTAGCTCTCATTGCCTCCCTGAATCCATCCATCTTCCCATCCTACCATCCTATCCATCCATCCCTCCCTCCCTCCCTCTCTTCCTCCCTCTCTTCCTCCCTCTCTCCCTCCATCCCTCCCTCCATCCATCCATCCATCCATCCATCTTCCCATCCATCTACCCATCCTATCCATCCATCCAACTAACTACCTCATCCTTGATCCATCTATCCATTCATCTGACTAATAATCTCATCCATGCAACCATCCATTCAGGTATCTCATTTCAACCATCCATTACATCCCATCTCTATCATCGATTTTATTTTATTTAAAGGTATGACCTGCTTTGTCTTGAGGGACTAACAAGGGGAATATTAGTCTTCCTGAACAAGTAAGTGATGTAAATAGAAGAGATAACTAGCTAAAAACTAGTGTGAGCTGCATTGGTGTTTCTAATGAAACAGTAATGATAAAAAGATAAATTATACACAGTGAAAAGATGACGTTTTCGGATGCTAGTCCTTCGTCGGAGTAAAACAGAAAGAGGTGGTGATGCAAATAGCAATGTAATGATGTGTTATACATTCACATTTTCATTTTCCTAAATTCATTATTTGTAGAATGCAAGCACCGAGATACAAAGCTATCAAGCCTGAAGGCAAAATGGAAAGGCTGAGAATCTCTAAAAGTGTAAGGAAGTAATTTTGATACAAATTACCCTACAATAAGACACCAGCTATTCTGTGTAGTTTTAGCTTAAATTTATTTTTTCTCTTATAACTCATTTATGTAAATATACTTGTAAAAAAAAGACGGAACTTCTTCAGGCACAGATGTTATAATATGTTAGACATTTCGCTGGTCAAGGCTTTCTCAATACAGTAACTCAAGAATCATTTAACAATAGAATATACCATTTATAGAACTATATGTAAATTGAGTTACGATGTGAAAAGGGTCATTGTTCTCACCTGTAAGTAATATTCTTGTTGTTGTTATTGTTAAAAATTGTAATCTTTGATCTTAGAGGTAAATGTTTTTGTGTTTTATATTTGCTTAACCCAGACTGCTCAAGTCAGACCACATTGTGTTGCTGCTCTTCTGAGGAATATCACTTTTACAAAGGTAAGACTTCAGTATCAATTGTCCCAATAACTGAGTCAAAGGCCAATGAAACATACTTTTCAAATTTCTTTCATTTCTTGGCTTTTTCTTGGTGTTGCAGGGCACCTGAGCCATGAAGACAATAAAACAATAGCTAAGAACAATGAGTTTGGAGCTAAACAATACCCTGCAACACAATAACCCTAACCAAGAATACATGTACATGTAACCAAGTTGAAAACTGGTTGATAACATACTGGTTGAAGATTTATTCGAGTTTGTTGCGTTACGTTTGTACTAGCCATATTTGGAATGATGATGTAAGTGATCACGCAACAGTATTCGTAATTTGAAAAATAAATCAGTTCTGCTCCAGATTTTGTGCTGTTTAGTTGCGGTTTTGTTTAGTCCAAGTTTTAGTTTTCGTTTCACTTCTTTTCCTGCGACCTATCTTGGAAAAGACCTGCAATGAGTTTCATCGTCTTTGCCGTTCAACATCCACTTGGTCACATACAATACATCTCGTAAAGACAAGAAAGACCCCATTTTTTGATGCATAACATGTCATTAACTGACTGTAGTGCCCCTTGATTCAGCACCATAATAGGCCTTTTCTGAGTTCGATAAACAGGATGCATCGTGGTCTAGCTTGTACAAACAACACCATATAAGGCAAGATAAACAAAAGATGTTTGTACTGAAGCTAGACCTCAATGCACCATGTTCACTATCTCAGAAAAAGTATATGCAACACATTTCTACAACTCTGGAAAGGCAAAAAGGATAATATTAGGCATGTTGGCATAATTTAACAAAATGCTTTTCAGATTTCCTTTGTATTCAAATTTCTACTTGCTCATGAGAGATAGTTAGCGATAATTAACTGACCACAACAAAGTGTTCAAGGTATTCTGGTTCCTGTAGTAAATGATGCTATAATGTGTGTCCTATTCTCAATATTTCAGTGTTTGGTTGAACCCAATTTTTAGTGTGTCCTATCTTCCATGGAAAAAAATTGTAACAAAATTATTTTTAAAAAATCATTAAAACATCTTTAATTTTTAGACAAGTTACGATAGTTTTATCGACCTTCAAGACAAACTCCACCATAACCTGTGTAGACGCAGAACACTGGTTGCCATAGGAACACATGATTATGATACCTTGAAGGGTCCATTCTTGTACGATGCTAGACCTCCTAAGGATATTAAATTTAAACCTCTTAGTCAGGTAAGAACTTATCAATCATGAATAAAATAAAATAGTAGTAAAAAAAAAGGATTGTTTAAGTTATTTTTACTTTTTGCAGACTAAAGAATACACTGCAGTTGAACTTATGGACCTCTATGCTGTAAGTACACATCTGTGCGATTGAAAATTGTATAGGCTTCTGTTGTATGCAGCTATTTAAAAAAATGTTGAATATTGCTCTATATAGTTAATAGTGAGTAGTAGTAACAAGTGTCATTGTGGCAGTTAATAACAACAGTTTTTTGGAAGCCACATGTGGGATGCCAAGTCTCAAACCAGAGACCACAGGGGTGAGAGATGTGTGTACTACTACTACATTAACTGTCTATGGCCTCAAGTCCCATACAATTTGCCTTGAATCTTTAAAGTGCTACTACGACGAAAATCGCTCAAACTTGGATTCAGCTGAAACTTCCTAAGAATACTCTTTAAAGGTCCAATAATCACTGTATGAAGTGTTTTCTCGATATTCAGGACGAAAGTATGATATTTTTACGATTATTTTTTGGAGTCTG